TCGCGCAACCATACTGTCTACATGTTATTCCGACAGCCAGGTATGGAACACGTACCGGCGTCGTATCCGTTATCGTGCCGGAAAAGTGTATTAGAATGACTGCTGGAGAACATCGGTATCTCGTCCCTAAATTGGTGCTAAGACGAACATGTATAGACCGAATGAAGCCTACTAACAAGCCTCATTGAGTTTGGCTACTGAACATTATCGTTTGTGTTCACACAAGAACCACAAGCAGTGGCACATCTGACTTTGCGCAAAATTTTGGGTTGCTATAACTATGCCCAGGCGTAAACGGCCCAAATACTATTGACAGACTGGTCCGTGTCGAATGTCAGCCAACCACGTATATGACTGATAAATATGTCACCCACACCGGGGTTAACTGAATGCCAGATAAGAAGTCTTTAAAACGTATGTCTCAACCGTTTTACCTTGTTTTTTAAACAGCGCGGAAACCATCCACGTGCACTTGAATGAAGGTGAGTGGAGAGCTCCAAACTCACCAAATGTGTACGGTCTTGTTCACGATGGATGTGGAAACTGCAAGTTGCTCTTGATTGCAAACTGTCCCGGATGTACTTCAGAAGACATTCAAATGACGGTAAGTTCCTAAGCTTCTGCAAAACGACCTTGGTTATTTTCGTATTTTCCCGATTCGTTTTTTCTTAGATAAAATCGCTCGCGACTCTATGAAGAGAAAACCTGCCACGCTTTCCGGGATCAGCCGATGAGGGAAAACATTGACGGGGAGTAAACTTTGGCCGACCTATTCTAAGCACTTCACCAGTAACCTTTCCAGAAGAGACATTTTCGCAAACAAGATAATAAGTAGCGGAATCTTAATATTAGTATGTTGAGACAGCAGTAGTGTACGAGGAAACACTTTCACCGCGAAGTCCTAGTAGTTTCGGCCTTTACAGTAGTGCTGCTGATACGAGACAACGAATCCTTGGATGTGAACCGTTTCAGACTTATTGTTCCGTCCTTCTTCTACTTACGAAGAATCAGCGACGACAAGTTAGTTAGTAACCAGTGCGGCGATCTTAGTTGAAAAATCAATACATCCATGGATGTTCAAGTCGAGAGGACTACTTCTGAAACACTGAAATATCAAGAACTTCAGAACAATCTTCATTAGAATTAAATAGGGCAAGTGTTGGAATTTGCGTCTGTTTTGAAGCCAGGAATGGCAAGAATGTTGGCACTAAGTGGCCAGGTTTCTCAGCTAACTTCTTCAAGTGTTCATTCTTTGCTAATTTGTTCCCCCCACACTTATGGTCTGTTTGATGAACTTGGTAGTTTGACTGGAAACGTCTTCTCACAGATCGAGGTGGCACCATCAGTATAAGGTAGATGAGGTCAGCTCGATTGGTGATGTCAAGCCCGGTGAACAGATAACTAATCAAGCAGCGCAGTCGCGCTTCTTATATTTCACAAAAGCACCAACCGCTTTTTATCATTGTGATGATGAAAATGATGATGAAGCTGGTGGTGATGATGATTATCAAGCAGAGGAAAACAGGTAGAACAACACAAATGAGAGGCACGGTGATGGAAAAGTCCTAGTTTGTTGTTTCGCTTATCGACCGTACTTTTGATCAGCTACGCATGAATAGTTTCTGCAGAACAACGAAATTCTAAGATCTGTTATCACAGAAATATAGCTCTTGCCTGTTAAACAGCCCCTTAGCATTCACCATGATGATGAGTACTCACTCATCGGATCACGTATCAAAAACACTCAAACCAAGTGACAATTCCTGTCCCACTTGCAACCTTAGCCGATAACTTGTACACTACCAGTTCTCATCCGTTTTTGTTTACGCGGCACGCGCCGGGCTTAGGAACCTCATTCAACAAATCAGATCAAGTTGTATTCATGCTCGTGCAAGCATCAAACACGAAGTGACATCCCTCTGTTCACACTGCACACAATAGATATGCATACAACTAGGCTCAACACACACACACACGCTCGCACAGTACGCGAAGTCAACAGAGCTCCGCAAGTCTCCACGAGCAACTACGGAACACGCGTAACAGTTACACTCCAGAGGAGACACGCCCCGCGTCCGGAACTTCACTCAGAAACTCTCAACAAGCGTCCTCGACAAGTCACATTTTGGCTTATTCCACTTTTCGCATTGTATCTATTTTTATCAAGTGCACCTAACTATTGTATTCATCACATTATAGTAGGACCGATATCTGTTAGTGCTTGTTGCCTTCTGATAATCAACTTAATTACGTCACAACTCTAGTACACTGTCTACATGTGTTTCCTTAACAAAGAGAAAGCAGTCAGCTAACTGTTCTCAGACATGTCCTTGAAAGCGCTCAAGATAATGCCTCATACTGGTGGCCTATTGAGTTCACGGGAGGTAAGAGACCAACCGTCCGTCGTATTTAAGTTCCCAATATTAGTTGCTAAGCGGAATCCATCTAATAAATAGGATGATGAAAGGTTGGTGCACAAGTTCCTGCAGAGTGTTTAGCTCTATTAGTAAGGAAGCTCGCGCGGTTTATCCAAATCTCTGTTTGAACGCACTGTATAGATACACGATGTCTGTCGTTTGATGCCACCACTTTCCCCGCCACCAATCAGGTCGGTCTTCGATCATTGAAACTAGTGAGAATTCACAAGCAATTAATAGAAAAAGTTGCTGCCATTCTCACTCATATTCTATAGACCTCCACTGGTTAATTCCAGCTATCTGTTACAAGGATCCAGTTGAAATTTGCCATGTGAACAGTCCTTACTGAGCAGCCAGAGTGGTATGCTTGTGATTCATCTTTACTGATATACGTCAGAAGTGTAAGCTGCATCAAAATTCGAGGTAACTGAAGCTCGTAAGATCCGGCTGGAATACCCACAGTCACTCTAGCATCACGTCATCTTGTGACAAGTGGTGGATCAAGGGTGATCACTTCATCCGGAACTTGGGTTCTAAATTCCAAAGCAAGTCATCCTTTACCAAAGTGGAAAGCTCACACAAGGTTGCTCTATAAAATGCCTCTACAAGTAGTATGGCAATGAGTACCTCTCACGTCCAAGTTTTCCGATGAAGCTTCCGGGTTTTATACGATCTTGGGGGCCTTCATACATGAACTGTATGTCCACTGGAGAACTGAGAAACATTTACTGCTTCGCAAATTCCTTATGCACGTTTGTTTATATCCTGAGAGCAACAGTTGCGTCTCAGTTGACACCGCAAATAATCTGGTCCCCTCCCTCCAAAAGCCCCACGAACAGGATCACCCAGTCGTATCCCAGTGCCATTTGACAAACAGCTCACTGAAGACTATCCAGGCTGGATGGAACGTCACTGGAAAACGCGGAGATTTGATAGTCCCTGTATCAGAAGATTTCAGCATTATGGAGTACATCGTGACTATATGGCTCAGAAGTAGGTTTGCTTGGAATTTCATCGTGTGAAAGTCCGTAATTTGTTTGATATTCCACAGCCAAAATGTGATTATACATAGCAGTGGAAGTTAACTACTCACAAAAGTGTGCAGTGGATTTTTCACCGTTGAAATACATAGGATAAACGTTGTACTTTTCGAACAAAAAATGGAAGTACAGTTTGCTTAACGTTTCGATGACTTCCTGAAACCTTTCTGGGACGTTTACATCCCAGATAACGTGTAATTTAAATGTATAGCCCTTAAACAAACAACTAAAATTTAATTGTTCGGTTGATTTTTCCCGAAATGCTATCTTTGTTTCTCGTCGAGCAGTTTAACTCAAATTAAGTGCTGAAAATCCCATCCGAAAACCAATGCAGCATTAGCCGAAGTATGACCCGTTACGTTATCATACGTAAAGATTTCGATATCTGATTGTCCGTGTGGATACCCAAGAAAATGGGTTCCACATAGGTGCAACACATATTAAACATTGAAAAATGTCTGAGACCGATCAAGAACTCATCGTTTCAGAGGGGTTTGGTGAACAATCGGTGGATTTATTGCTGGGCAACGTTTCGCTTTTGACACAAAGGCTTCGACGGGCCAAGTGAGTAAGTTGATTGGGTTTTAAGGCAGTCAGGGAACCAATCCATGAGATTCCTCATGATTAGTGACTTGATCAGTGCTGCATGTTCAGCCTGATGTTCCTGTTTGTTGGTCATTGGGCATGACTAAGATTTACAATGGATTGGTTGGGGAGGGATTCGTCTCTATGATGAACTCGGATTTTTCGTCCTTGCTTCTTCACTCAAGGACACCTTACTTACTTACTTGGCCTGACAAAGCTTTGTGTCAAAAGCGAAACGTTGCACAGCAATAAATCCACCGATTGTTTACCAAGCCCCTCTGAAACGATACATTAGGCATGTTTCGCTAAATTTGTGCTTCCATTCCAAAGCGTCATTTTTTGTAATAGATAGGCTCTAAAGCTGCGTTTATCCGCTCCAATGGTGGGGCTAGCAGATTCAAGTAGCGCAATTGAGCTAACAAATTTTTGGAGGATCAGTAAAGAAATGTTAAGCCAGGCAAGTGAGTACATTGTTGCCTGGATCTTATCCCCTAAGCGTTCTGCTAACTAGGATATTACCTAGATATTAAAGGAACATTTGATGGATTGACGGGAATTTGTGGAAAATTTCGGTGACGCTTACGATTGACAGCGAGCTTTTAGTATGCTTCGCTGCTCGTTGTTTGAGCACACAGTTTTTCTGGTTTGATTAGCGGCGACCGTGTTTGGATTTCTGTGCCAGCTGATAACAGTATTTCATTTGATAATCTCATCATCATCATCTCACACATGAGAATGTGGATAATTTTTTCAGGGCTATTTCTGGAGGGAATGACGGATTCTGTCAAAACTTCGAAAATCAGGCTTCTGTTGTGAATCGCGTCTGTCACAGAGAGATTAACATGCATTCGCGTGGAAACAAGATGCCATTTACAACGGTTCTGTCCACTGAGATGCGATTCCCGTGTGAGGTTTACCCATTATTCACCATGCCCGTGTCTTGTGTCATCTTTTTCAGACATTTCCTCTGAACAACACTTGAATGTTCGAGTAAAAAACGTTGCACCTGGACTACAGAAAGTGACGTGGAACGTACCCAAAATTAGCTGTAATTGTTCGTATCTCTATGTGATTGAACAAAGGGCCAAGGGTGACGACAGTGGGCACGTGAATTATTTGCATGTCCCCTCAGAGCAGAATCAAGAAAAGGAAGATATTCAACTTGATTTTGGTAAGTGCCTTCTACATTCCAGTAGATTTACTTCGTTTTAAACAGCTAGGCGCCTAATCCTCATTACGGCCACATTGACAAAGATGCTATCCAGGTACAACTTATAGGAACAATAGAAGTCCGCCGGCCTACTCCAGTAGAATTCAGACGAATTTAGGGAAGAGGCTAATAGTATTTGGCGCCAAAACGTGATTCACAGCAAAGTGGGTGGGCTAACTAGGGGGTTCATTTCAGGAGTGGAAACACTTTTAGAACACAAGAACACAGAACAAAAACTCTTGACTGAGCTATCACATTTCGGCATACCAATGCAGATGGTTGTGTGCGCTTGCTTAATGCAAGTGGTTCTGTGCACTTGCTTTCAGCTTCGATTTCCGAAGATTTACTATCACAGTTGCAGGCAGGAGTGCGTTTGCGCGTTCTGTCCTCAAATGTCTGATCGTACCTACACGCGTCTCTGTGAGCTGGTGCTGACACCTTTGTCGTTCAGTGGCTAAAATCTCTGTGCTAAACTCTCACTCAGGAAGGATACGTAGCCCTTCATTCTTCAGTGACTGACTCCTCAAGTTACTACTCATCACACGGACATTTCACCCATCTAGTGGTGATATATTTCATCCGCGTCATTTGTATATTGATCGAAGTTTGAGAAAGTCCTTTGATGAGATCCAGAAACTTTGGAACCAGCTGAAGATGTGACTTTTTGGCTGCAAGCGTCAGAACACTCTCACACTCGGACATCAACCTATGTATGGCCCAAAGGAAGAGTGATTTCACAAGATGAGTGAAACCTTTGTGGGAGATGGGCATTCAATCATTCAGGCAATAAGTGACCAGGTGATGTCGTTTCTTCGATTGAAGAAAAAGCGCCACCACTTTCTGTCTCGGTAAGAGCCACTCAAAACATCAGCTACTTGTGACTGGACGGTTAACTGTTGAACCACTGACTCGACGACCCCGGTTTTCCAACTCTCTGGGGCTCGTGAAATGCATACTACTCATGATTATCGAAAAGAATGAATAAGCTGCATAGTGTCGTTGGGCTTTTTAGCGTAAAATGATAACAGGGAATGGATGGAAACCGGATTGAATAGACTTGGCTAACAGACCAATGAAGAGTAACGCATCCACCATAGTCTGCTTGCTTGCACAAAAAACTGAACATATGGGGGAATCTGCTTATAGGACGAGTGCAAAAAGCCAAAGGAACTGAAGAAACTGAGACGAAAACGTATCGCAGATTGGCAAGGAACCTGTCAGATAAAACAAGGGAAGTTGATCAATCTGCTGGTTGCAAATCAAGAACAAAGAACAAATAAACGAATAAAGGATTGGGTAACATAACACATCAAGCCTATGAAAAAGTTAGTTTAGAATTCGCAAAACCTTTTCCAGTACCGAAAGAACCACTAAAAACCCATTTTTGCGCACGAAAATGTGGTTTCATGGTGTTCAAATTGACTTTCAGACGGATCGGCCAAGTAGAGGTAGTATGTCCTTTATGCCTGTTTTCGGAAAGGTTTACGTTCGAAGTAATCCGCTGTTTTCTGTTTCCATGCGTGCAAATATTGACTAGAAAACCACGCAAGCAAAATTGCCGGGAAAATGAATTTTGTAGCACGGTCCCGGTTGCTTGTTTTTGTGATTCAGTGGGTATCCCCTACTTACACATCCAAAAACGGTGCCGGTGGTAATGCCATGAGTTTAACTACACCGTGAGTGCTAAAGCCTACTGGAGACAATGCATTTGTGGTCAGTTATCGCTTTTAGTCAAATCGGTGAACAACGCTCAAGTTGGGTCAGTGAAGTAGACCGTATGATGCTTCGGACTCTCTCATCACAAAGCACGACCTCCTTGGAACTCTTTGTGGCGGACTTCAGACTTGATGTGTTGACAAGACGAATGGCCTAAGTTGGAGGGAAGTAAAAAACCAATGACATCCCTTGACGCAAATAAACTGTCCTGGGTGTGCGAGGCATCTTCGCCAAAGAGGCCAGTCAAGACCAAAATGTGTGTCATCGAATGCATGCTCGACACATGATGGGACTCCTTTCATTCTAAGAGTGCGCCAAATAGTCATTGGATGTCTGATTGACGCGAATGAACTTTAATGTATCCGAAGGAATCCACTGTATGGATGATTAGCAATTTGCAATGGCTTGGTTGCAGGAAAAAACTGCTTAGGATGGGCAATTCCGAGGCACGAAAAATATATGACTGAAATACGGGCAACAAACGACAGCCATGTGTTACCATATAGCTGGCGCAGTCTTTTAATTTCTTAATAAAGGCTTTACTTTGCCTTTCATAAAAGAGACTACTCACAAGGTTGCTGAAAACTCTTTGACAGCTCATGACCAGTTTTGTCCTTCATGGGGGTCGTCAATTTGGCGCAGTCACCGAGTTTCCGTTAACCTTATGTTCTAGTTGCCTCTAATTGCGAACTACCAACTCCAGTACCTTACGGGTTAATGTTTGTTCCAACTAAGCCTATTGCAGCGACTAGTCGGCACATTCGACCAAACCCAGTTAAGTGGTCTGACGGTTGCATTATGTACAGGTTTTGGGGGTAGTTTGCGTAGACACAGAAGCCTTGAAATGGGAACATTTGGTGAACCACGATGGGCAACATCTACTGTGCCAGCTCATCCTTACATTGCTCGTTAGGTTTCACTTGTCACTAATCCTATTTTGTGGTACCACGCTGGTCAGTTTAGCCATATCCAGCGTTGCTGGTGAATTTTGAGACAACTGGTCCATCCGTTTGAGTAAAACATTGTTTTCACTAAGCAGGACGTATCAAACATCAGGGCTGTTGAGAATTCATGGACAGAACCTCCCGCCTTGTTGTCCGTCCGTACTATTTAGTTTTCACACTTATGATAGTGAAACGTTTGCTATGAAATATCGTTCAAGTCTACAGGAAATGCATATTGCCTGGGATGTGCTGTTTCGAGTACCCATGATACCGTCACTGACAGTCGTGGTTTTGTTAAGGCAGCTTCTACTTTCGTGTGGCTTTGTGCCGTGGAACGTTCTAGTAGGCATTTGAACATTCCCTGTGCTAGCTTAATTCTATCAGTGTGTATGTAGCTGAAAGTATTGTTCTGTTCGTGATATTCTGGTCAGTCATGTTAAACCGGTAAAGGTGTCCCCGTCCAGCCTGGTCGTGGATATCGATAGGTCCACAAGGTTTGCGGTGTCACACGACGCATCCTCACTAACCCGCAATTTGTAACTGGCCGCGAGATTTCCTTCACTGACACGTGCTAGGCGTCTTTACTTATGTCCTTACCAAAATAACCGACGTGATATAATAAATGGGTTTATTGTCTAGTGAAAAAAATGCCTCACGTTAAGTCATCCCATCCATCGTGAATAACAACAAATTTTGCGCTTCAGTACGTCTCCGTTTCTTGCGACTTATTTCTCAAAACGTGCACACTATTCCAAAATTAAACAATGATGCTTCTCTGCAACTTTTGATCAACAAGAGTGCCCGCACCTCTCCCTCAGGAAACGTACTTTACCACAGGTGACACTCTCCGTCTGCGTTTCCAGACGTTCCTCCAAAAAGTACCAGTTCATTTCTACGACGGCAAGCTAGGTTCCTATTTTTTTAAGTTTTGAGTTCGTGCGAGTTCCTCAAGATTGCTTTGAGAATACAGATTCCAAGAACCGGTGGAATGAGAGGTTGGTTTCCGAAACCATCGAGCATAAATAATTAGAAGACTTACTTGAAGGATGTTCAAAAGAACATGCTTTACCCATCGTTTTGTGACAAACACAAGGCATCTCCTCGTGGTGGTTGTTACTTCCATAGATGCACTGGAGAAGTGAACCAGAGGGTTTGAGTCGGGCATAAATGTGCCTCCGCGCACAGGAAAACCAATGATCAATCACTCTTGGCTCACACGTCGCGAACTCATCCGAAATCCAGGAATTATGAGGTGAAAAATAAGGACGATGCCCTAATTCCATGCAATAACCAAAAACATCCATTTGTTTCCGCTCACCTATCTTCATCAGGTACCGTGTGCGGAAATATATGAACAGGGATTTCTCGACTGGAGAAAACCAGCCTTGAAAAGTGCTACCAATGCACCACTGTACTGTTTGACAAATCCAACTTCCAAAAATATATTTTAGAGGTTCGAATTGCAAAATTACCTTTTAAAATCGTCAGCAAAATTTAGAAATTTCGGTTGTTTACGAGTCTTACAATTATGGTTTTGGTCATACATGGTTTCCACTTTTTAGAGGAGTTATTCGAAGCTCCAAACATCTGTGAAACCTACGAATATCGGGTTTACACCAAGAACATGATAGACGGTAGAACCAATTTCTCTGCGACCACCGAAATGAGGATGGATCTACAAAGTAAGTGACTGACAGAAACCAAAGTGGAATTCACAAGAGGGAAATATACCTTTCTATATGGTATGGGGTTATCGACTAGGTTATTCCACACCTGCCACTTTGGAAATGAATAGGTGAAAGATTTATTTCCAGTCAGACTATTTTAAGAGCGCTCTACTCACCAGACGACTTCAGGAAGCCAACAAGCGGATCGACCTTCTTGTGATCTGAGATCACAAGATCACCTGCTCGTAATAGCAGGTGGAAAGCTACCCGCAGAAAAATGTGTAAATATGAAGTGAAAAACCTACAGAGGACGCCACAATAAATGTTTGTTCTAACATGAACCAAAAACAAATCTGAGCAGTACCAATCGATGTGCAGTAAACAATAACAATATGCTGACCTTTGTTTGGTAGTTTACCGAAAACTGGATAAACCACAATAAGAAAAGATATTTTGAATGAGGTAACAGTCACTCGGTAGAATTTCGGTAGATTTCATGAATGACTTCGAGAAATGTGGTAGAGTAAGTGAAATGTGACTGGAAAACCTATCTCAGCTCTAATGATACCAGAGTACAGACAGGGGCCGAGCTGCTTTAAGATAAGGAAATTCAAATACGTTCTATTTTGCCGACCGAAAACTCGAGACGTTATTGATGAGTGTAGATATAGTGCACAGGATCTAAGACAGATTTGGTTGAAGCGGAGTCGTAAATTGGCCACTGGTTGACATATTCGACCCTGTGAAGCGATGATAAAGCTCACTGAATTCATTGTCCAGTGAGAAGCGTAGACTCTCTCGGGTCCATCGGACTCCGTAAAATAGACAACAGCCCAAGAATAACCGGTGCTTTCGGTGTCACAAAGAAATTTACCCGAAAAGAATCGTGAACTCTTCATCACATTTCCGTCGGAATCACCAAAACTAACAGTTTTGACCCAGTGCTGTAAAAGGAGTTCTTGGACGCTGATTAACACTGAGATTTATCAGCTTAGGATATAGCCAGTAAAACAAATAGAACGGTTGAGGAACTAAATATTTCTTAATCGATACGAGAACAAATGTTAGGAGCCATCAAATTCATGGGAGGATGAAAACTTCAGAAATTAGCACTAGCTTTCTGGAAACATTTTTGCTTTCTTTGTTGAATGTAATGAAAGATATCCAATCGGACTAGATGTCTCATTGGCTCGGTGAATACGTTCCCTCATTCAGAAAAAACATGCCTACAATATCAAACCATTACAAGGCAGATGAGGGAAAGTGAACATCAAAATGCTAAACTAAATTTGAGCGAAAGGCCACGGCTCAACCGCGGCAAGATGGTTGAATGACACCGGTTTTGTGGATCAATAGGGAACTATAAAACCTGAGTGCGGAGTGTAGCGTCACACGCGGCTTGCGCCGAGCCGTCACATGCTAAAACTGAGCACCCTGTATCCATGATGCTCTCTAGCTAATAAGCCTTCCGGCATCTATTTGGAAGCAGTTAGAAGCAGTCGGCAATTCAGAGGGCGTTCATTAAAAGTTCATTGTAGCATCGTACTGCTTGGTAGACTAAGTAATTTTCATCGCATTGGTATACCACCTCAATCACAGTCATGGGACTCTGTCACCTGTAAAAAAAGAGATTCGCAAACATGAACATTCGTTCTTCATTTCAAGGAAGCTCAAAAATTTGGCATTTATCGCCCGCTGGTTTGCTGATTCAACAGACATCCTGGAGCCAGCCAGCGTTTTAAAGGTAGTCAAGGTAGCCTATTCCGTTAAGGGTTGTGACACTAGAACAAACACAGAGATGTTGCCACTTCCCAGTCTTTCACCGTCGGAATACCTTGGATTTGGAATTTCGCTGAGTCTGGACAACTGTATATATTAGAAGTAATATTGGCCACCTTGGAACCAGTGCACTATGTGGTGAAATGTCAAAGTTTCACGCACTGGAACATGTTGTGTGGTCATTTTAAGCATGCGAAATTGCACTAGTAACCTCGATACGGGATAAAACTCGCCCTGAAGTTTCCACGGGTTTTCCTATTGCGCATTCTCCACAGAAAAACGACAAGAATGGCTCCTAATTGAAAAAAAATATCTGGTATAATACAAGTGGGTTACAGTTTCGGCAGGTTTATCGTTCGAATACCTTTTGCCATTCTACAGGATCCTCAAATGGCAAAAGACGTCGGTGAAAATGTAAGCAGGAATGCGTTTTATTCAGTGTCCAATACTTATGGCTTAGAAATAGGCTAAAGTGCAAAGAGGGTGAGTATNTCGGCAGGTTTATCGTTTGAATACCTTTTGCCATTCTACAGGATCCTCAAATGGCAAAAGACGTCGGTGAAAATGTAAGCAGGAATGCGTTTTATTCAGTGTCCAATACTTATGGCTTAGAAATAGGCTAAAGTGCAAAGAGGGTGAGTATCAGAGTCCGAGGAGAATGATAAATTGATGTTAATTTTTTTGGATCATGAAGGATACGTTCTTAGCTGTACCTTCACACAAAGTAGGAAAGCGTCGGGTACACTATAAATCAATGAAATATTTGTTACAAATTATAGGCACAGTTCCTTGCAATAGTCTAGTTTTTCCAACGAAGGCTAATGATGCCCGAGGGAACTTAGCCTAATTAACCGTGAGTTTTGTAATTAACCCAGATAACAATGTGATAACAAGTAAAACTGCCTTCTTCTCTCTATTGGGAAGAAAGCAGTAGAACAGCTGTGTTATCTATGCTGCTGATCTTCTGGCCGAAATGAGTGGGTCAGGTATTTATTTAAGAGTTTGGTTGCCAATAAGCAGCACTTTTGACTTGCGATGACTTCTGAAGTACAGCAGACAAATGAAACTGTCAGGGGCGGAAAAAGTTCTCGACGAATCATTATGTCTACCATTTGTCAACCTTGTTCACGATTGCTTGGGTCACATCAAAATCCCTCATCTAAAAGTGTTTACAACACTTATAACGCAAATGAGACCAAGTCAAATTGAAAAAATGGCCAAGACTGGCATCAGCACGAACAACGAAGTGTTTAGAATGATCAGATATTTTCGCGTTGTTGAGTGAAACGGGAGTACATAAATCGACGAATCGATGGGAGGGCAGAGAGAGAGGAGAAAAGTCACAGGCGTCTATTTTTCATTTTCCTCATATGTTCTATAGGACCTCGTTCCACACCAAATCTGACTATCACATGGACTGAAGTTGATGAAGTCATGATCTTTTGGGATTTGGGATGTTCCAATGGATCAACTTTCGATGTCGTTGCCCAATCGGATGTAACCGAGCTAAGGAGAAGCATACTTGATGAACCAGGTTTGCCTGAGTACACAAAATTTCGGGTTTCAGCATGCACGTCCTACCTGGTATACCTGGATTTTATTGCCGGTGAATTCAGAAGTCCTTCAAATTTTATCCTACTTAACGGATCGTTTGAAAGTGAGTTCACGTGTTTAATGGTTTCCACGACGGTTGTAAATCTGCTTCGTCGGTTGGACACAGATTTTTTCATTGCCATTTTTTCGTCGTTATCACAGCTCAAGTCTAGTGTAGAGAGCTAGGTAAGAAAGCCCGCATATTTTGTCTTACTCCAAAGGTAGTCAGGTAGAAAACTAACAAGTACTTCTATATAATAACCATCACCTGAAAAGGATATACTCCATGTGCTTATTCATCTCACATACGATATCCTAGATATCGTACCAACCGAAATATGAGGTGGCTGCGCTGGATAATCTCAGTTGAAGTGGAACACCATGAACGTGTGACTCGATCTAATAAAGTTGAGTCTCTAGTTAGGGTCAAATTCTTATACACAGCAAAGAATTTCGCTACTTTCGATTTGGTTTCAAGTAGAACAAAAGTTTAACGAAAACTCAAAAACTGTGCCCACCTGATGAGTTCTATGACTGCAAAGCCAGTCGTCGTCCTCCGAGGTTTTTTTTCAGCAACCGTATAAGTAGTTAACTCCGTCTAGACAACACTTGAAGACTTTATTAGAATGGCTTTTGTAGCCCATTCACCTCGTCCGTTTAGTGTCCTGCTCTTGATGCTTCTGTCTTAGCTGAAGATGCCTGCTGTGATCCTGGCGTTTACTTAGAATGTTTACTTTCAAGAGGTGATTGATTTGGATGTCTTATGTGTGCCTCAGATACAAACACAAATATAGTTCACAAAAATAACTAGCCACTGATGGCGTATTCAAATTTGTACCGGTAGATTTCTGTCAGACGACGTGAAGTAGTTGATGAACATAAAAGTGAAATAAAAATTGCAAACTAGACTTACTTACATGATAAAAAAAATCTAACCGGACACTCAGCTGGACCCCAGGTGAACCTATTCACAAGTGTAGGTCTTGCACAAATGCGACCATATGGTTCAGCTAATACGATACTTGAGAAATTGCTGTATATTTCATTCAGAGCAACTGCTCGCGAGGTTGCTGAAATCTTTTTGGTGGCTCATAACCGGTTTGGTCTAACTGATTTGAGCGCATCAAATAAGTACTGTTCTTCTGTCTTTGTCAGTCATATTTTTCTCTTAAACAAAAATTTTAGAAAGTGGGCAACCCGCACCATTTTCACAAAAACTGGGTCTCAACGATAGACTCAACTTAATCTTAGCCTAATATATCATCCATAGGATTCTGATTTATTCATTTATGTTATTCTAAACCAGTTTTTTACTGTTGCGGAGGCCTTAGCAAACTTGTGAGTAGGCTTCTTTAAGAAACTGACTTGAATCATTGGTTTCCCACGCATGAACAGCACATACTACAGGAAAACTTACCAAATGGATTACATTAAACTAGGAAGCTTGCAGAGTCATACAGTTTTACAGTTTTTCCTTCGCCTTCCTCGACAGTTTGAAATCCACACAGAAACGCTATGTGAGAATATCTTTGGTGAACAACTTCCTACAAGCAGTAGAAAATGTTGTACTTTTTACAAAGCTCTTTGCCTTTTCGAGTGATTTATTCACCTTTGTTTCACCTAAATCTGTTTGAAACCAATCAAATTATGTTCCAATCGTGCTAGTGAAAAGACAGTTAGTTAGTGGTCTGCAGTACGTTGTGCCTTAATCGTCTCCAGAGCAACTGAGACATTTTGACGTTATTCCGAGCCATCAGCATATTTTTTTAATAAAGCCATGAAATTTTATCATCATAAATGTGAGCAAAATATGCACCGTTTCAGGTTACAGATACAGGGTCCAAAATGGGGCAGACCTATGTTTGGTGGCCTTATTTCACAGACTAATGAGGTAATGATTATATTTGGGCTAAATTCCTTTTGCTGAGCACAGTGTTCCAAAAGGCAACTTGTGACCATGTTGCTTGCTTTTCATTTCTTCCAATCTTTTTGCATAGAAACGGGTGAGTTTTTTTATCTGGGATGCTTCTTTACTTAAGGGTTCAAAATAATAAACTGTGATGGTATTATGAATAGTAATGCATTACTATTGGCTACCACTCTTATATACAATTATTGATATAGCGTCATTATACAACTAACTGTGGCAGAATAGAACCATAATCTGAGGGCTTTCAGCTATAAGGAATCAGATGTGAGTTAAGCCTTCTGAATTTTAGCACAGTGGAGGCTGGTTTACTCTCAGGGTGAACAACCAACCTAGATTCCGGTCATCTTACGCGCTAGACTCAGCCAAACATTTATGTAGTAACTGTTTCCAGAATCCTGAATACATAAACGTCATTATTGTTATAATCGGTGACAGCTTTGGTCCAAACAAACAAACAAACTGATGGGAGACTGGCATATTATTCAGGTTACATTTTTAGCGAATGGTGCGAAAATCAGCATATGGAAATATCGATCGATTTTTGGGCACCGTATGTCCATATAAAAAAACGAACAACGGTTGCACATTGTGTAAATAAAGGATGACTCAATAAGCTGACTTCCGATAAGTGAGGGATGAGCCACAAAGAACAGACATGCGTTTTGATTCTTTATTGGCTGCACTCTTTTTTGTCCTATCGAACGAGCGGGCTCTTGAGACAGTTAAAGCAGTAAGCCTCCGACTTCTGCTCCTAAAACGGTCAACGTAGGGCGAAATTTGAGAATTGATCCAGGTAATAGCTTGCAGCAACAGTACAAGTTGTACTATTTGGTTGTGTGAAAAAGGAAATCAACCGTTGGGCGAATGGAAGGTCGAAGCCATCCTGAAATCCTGAAATGAATGGAGCCTTGACCTAGTGTTCTCTTTGCAGTTATGTCCAGGAAATGTGCATAAACTTTGATATATGATAGTAAACTTAGGATGAGAATGATGACAGTATTTTGCTGATCCTCCGGCTTTTACAAATATAATCAAATTCGAGCAAATCAGCTTCCCGTAGAAAAGTCGTTCAGCCAAGACTAGAGGATTTCTGATAGGAGATGAGATAGAAGCGGTTTCTCAGTCCGACGATAACTTGGCCCAAAGGAAAATTAGCGAATCTAAAATCCTCAGGCCCTTTCTTTTTTAACTTTAAAGCAATTGATAGTTGAAACGAAATTGCGAGTAAATTTTCTACAGATGCACTCAAAGGAATATGGCACATTGTTGTAATCTTCAGCATTGAACAAAAAATTTCTAATCAGGAAAACGCCTTTTGCTAATCAAGTTTTTTTCTGTTAATTCTCTGACACCAAAATGCTTCGCCCATCAACCTTTCCTTTATTTCCGCTGGTATGCTAGTGGCACCTGGCTACTGAGAGCCAGTCGACCTGATTAAGCTGTGATAAGTGATTAGGTCACAAGCTAACTTACTGCGGTGTCTTCCACAGGAGGCGGGCCTTTGAAGAACATGGCGCTCTTTTATTTCAATGGTTCTACTTGATTAGAATTTTTCCATCATATCCTCTCCCTTCCCGATCGTTTAAATCCCTTAACTCAGAGTGTTTCGACCAATTCATAAGTTATTTAAAGATGAACCTAATTTCACTGTCATCCGGCAAATGAATAAAAAATAACAACAGGGTAATTAGAAGGACCAAACTTATAATTCAGTAACATGCTGTGCGGCATTTTTCACTTCCTGAAAATAAGTAATGCTTCCCGAAAATCTATGTGCGAACACAGCTTGGCTATTCATCGCGGTACCAAAGGAAATTTGAAAGTCACTTTAACGATACTTCGTGATTCATATTCTCCAACTCGCGATACACTATCGGATAAGACGTCTAAGAAATATTGACCTTTCGGAACATTTCGTCAGCAAGTAAAACCTGCATGCATGTAAAACTTGTATGGAAATTTAAACGACATGAAAATTTGCAACAACAGAACGTGGAGCAGAATGCTAACATTGGATTCCGCTGACAAAAAAAAACGAACAAAAAACGAATCAGTGTGCTTGTCAAGGACTAAATCATTATGAGTGTGACGTGTTCACCAATAGTGTTGTTTACGAAAGAGCAAAAAAGAATATATTATACCTGAAAATTGGACACATGGGGCAGAAGGAAAAAGTTGATAATATTTTGGGATTTTTTTTTGTTTTTCATCCAGAAGTGGAGAATAAGTGGGAATCAACCGAAATAATATTCTACAGTATTCTGAATATGAGACTGGAGCAACAGAATTTCACAAAATATAACGATTTCCGTGAACCTTTGGTTACAGAGGATTTTGTACTTTCGGATACTATCAAACTCTTTTACAAGTAAAAAGATTGAGAACAGACTCTTTGAGGTGATGTTTTTGGCAGAAAACCCTGAAAAAGTCAAACCATTTTGAGTTATCATCATCTACTGTTTTCAAAACGGGGTCCATAAGCCTTATTCGTATTTCATTAGGAGGGCACCAGTAGATTGATGTTGCCCTAGCCGTAAGGATAAACGCCTTGCGGTTTAACAAACCATCTAAGCCGTCTAAGACCGACTTTAAAACTTTGGACAAGTTGGTGTGAATAGATTGAGATGAAGAAGATAAGAGAAACATCCGGGAATGAATATCTACATCTTGCCGAAGAAATTACCAGATAGGATTGCAATCAGCACAGATTGGGAACAAAGTGAAGGATTATCCTTCAAACCAGGGGGAGTGACAAGCTTCAGCGACGGAATGCATCGACTAACAAACCATATTTAAAGAGATATACGCATAAAAGAATTCGAAACCGTTGGAATACTAGTGAGAAGTGCAACAGCAGTATTCTGCACGAAAACGTTAGTTTTCCTTTTAATTTCTCGATAAATGACCGCTTAATTCTCCCTTAGAGTCTGGTGCTTAAAGCACAGAAGGGACACCAGTGATTCCGGCAGATCTGTTTCGTTCGTGAACCATCTTATGTCTGATTAACATATTTTTCGCATCACCTACAATGTTTCAGAGAAATCGCAGAATGTCTTGGGATGCAACATCCCCGAAAACATGACGCGAAATTAGGTACACGTGATTCTAACCAAAAGAATGTTAGTGCCGAATTGTGTGATGAAGCCATGTGTAGGTCAGAGTGAAAAGTAAATAAGAGCCGTTAGTAATGCTGTTGTCAGCGCATCCTGAAGGAACTATCGGGAAATAATTATATTTGCTACATGGCGTGATATTCCAAGTTCGGGGCTCGTAGTCGGCCACCAGTGCGGCCAAAATAAAGCGTAGGTAAGAACACAGGTGGATCAGATTGCTGAATCATTGACTGCGTCCGAATTTCATGAAAACGACAGTCGTTCAAGCTTGAAAACAACGGAATCGTGGATGATGCACATTTCAGCACTTTGTTGGTGCCGAACTTTGTGTTGATTTTTCTACACAAGCTGGCGAGGTTTAGGCTGTCGTTATATTGTATGCGCCTCTTAGAATAGAAGTGTTATTTCATTGTGATTTGCGTCTAAATATGTTCGTTCCAAACTCAATGTGGCCTACCACAAATTACAGTTCGTGAGTCTTTCAAATTCATGTATCCTCATTATTTGTCAAATGTCTCAATGAGTTCGTCTGCACTGCATCAAAACACATTGTCATTTTCTCGTCTACCACAATGCATCAGCTGAGCTAAGCCGGCGCTTTGTCATCTGACGGGGAATATTTTTGTCCTACTTTTGTGGGGTAGCAGCGTCATTCAAACCGTTTGTTCACCAATCGAATACGTCTTTTCACGGACAAAGACACACTGAATACACTGCGAGCAGTCTTTTCGAGATTTAAATCGTTTTGAATTTTTGCGGCTTACTCTGTTGAACCTGTACCCATCCCCAAAGTGCAAAATGTCACTACCAAATTGGGTTTGACCGAACTCGAACTCGATTCCTGCAAGTCAGCTGGTCAGCCATGTCCATAAATGTTTCTCGCCGAATAAGTCTATTGATTTCAACGACTAAAAGAAAACAAGCATAAATCTACATAACCCGATGACGAGAAACGAAAAATATGTTAGCTTGACGAACAGATGAAAAGTCACTTGATGTACAACGAACAAAATCACTGTCGGGATGAGAGCCTAAAACAGCTTGGCGATTAAGGCGCAAGCGCACTATTTGGATGGTCCATGGTGCAAAACAGAACTTTTCATCTCCGCTGCTCCAGGATAACTTTGGGCATGTTGGCAGTAGCCCAGCCCTCGTGCATCGTTTGGATGTTGCATTAGGGTTTGTGTCAATCTCCTACACCTGTGAAACCGGTATTTAACCAGATTTGCAATGAGATCTAGTATTTGTGGCTGAATTGTGTGAAATACGATCAGTGCAATTTTACGATTAGCCGAATTTTCAAATGCCTGATGTTCACATTAATTTCTCCGTTTAGTGTGTTGGATGACTTGCTCCCACTCGAAGAGGTAATTGTTTTCCAAATCATGGTCACCTAGGTCTTATGAGGGACGACCAATTGTGGTGATTGGTCTTTGCATGTACCCATTTGAGAGGTGCGCATCATCTATACGTGGCTACCATATGATGGAAGGACTTAAAAAAACGCACTAATTGATTCTGTTGAGCACTTTCAATCTGGACAGGAATGCAAGGAAACCAGCAAAATCCTCAGTGGCGTCTAAGTATTCAAATAGCTCTAAGAGTGCAACCATTCTACGCCTATTAAGCTGAAACAGACATACATTTTGCACATGATTTTGGTCGACAGCTTGAACTCATCGCTGACCAAATACCGGCATGAACATATTCGATCGTAGTCGACGGTACTGGATGCCACTGTGACTGCTATATAGCAGTGACATTCATTTTGTTGGTAAAAGCAGAGCCGCTTCCTTGAAAACCAAATCAGTACAAGCTTTCTGGTTCAATTAATGCGCAGACTGTTCTTGCATAGTTCCGAACGAGTCGGTCAGTGGCGTTTAGATTACCTGGAGACTGCTGACAAGAACTTTTTTCCAAAGGCCACACATGTATGTCGAAAATACTAGACTTTGGAAACGGACAACTCTCAGAAAGTTTCGTTGGTGTTCACTTCCTATAACATTTGGTTAATCACAAAAATGACAGCATCAAATTTATTTCTTCTGTGCTTTTGTTTACTCCTTCAGCCGCCATAAAACAAATTAAAGCGGAGAACATTGACACGACTGTGCAACGTATCAGTTGGGAAGAACTGGGCGATGACTCCTGGTGTGCTGAGGATGTGTACCAGGTGACGCAGACAGAGGAATCTGACAAAATTATCCAATCTCACAATTTGTCTTACGGAGAATCGTTTGGTGAGTTTTCGGTGAAAGGTCTTTTTTCCAAAACTTGCGAAGAGGTAGTAAATTAAATGTTTCACTTAGTTCCTCCAAACGAACCACTCAACTTGGTGTTTAGCGTTTTACGTGAATGATTACCACAAGCATCGCCTTGGCTTAACAGACCCACTGGCAAAACACAGTTTGTTGGTTCTGTTGAAATACTTTTGTTTCTTGGAAATGTGAAAAATTTCATAAACTTAGAATGAAGTTAGTCGGAACAAGGTCGCTTGGTGCAAGCGTCAGGAAAAAAATTACTACAGTGTTCTGCCATCGGGATTTAGGTGCATATACTAATTCTGATAATTCCTTCATTCCAAGATGTCAACATCAGCGGTTACAAAATACAGACTTTAGGTAATGCTGCTCTTTGTGAGCCAGATTCCACTATTTAAGTTATTCATTTGCAATTCAAAATTGTACCAATTTCCAAACATTGGTTGTTTTTTTTAAACAAGAGCAAGATTTTCAGGTTGGAGAGGAGTGGAAAACCTATCAATACAGCCTACATAAGTTGAACAAACATACCGGCCTAAAGGATTTAATCGGGAGAGTGAACCTAACGACGAAACCACGTAGTAAGTGCGGGGTACTTATTATGTTTTATTATTTATTTTTTTAGTCCGTAAATCTTGTTATGTTTAGTTTTCATTAAGTGAACAGGCTTTCGGTTGTGTTCGTAAACGAATGGAACATCTATGCCACAAGTTGCGATGCCGGATGAACGCAAACGTCTGCTCATGATCCAGCCAAATATTTATTAAATTCAGTCATAAATTGTAAGGGTCAAAAGACTCCTTTGAGCCCTTTAGTTGAGATGGTGTATCCACGCGTGGTATGTTTGTCTGCTGCTTTGACCAAGAAATAACCAACAACGCACTTTTTAAACGGTTTATTCGTTATGGCTTCTTTCCTACTTTTAACTCCCGCTTAGGTGAAAAGTTCCAATGAAGTGTGGAGAATCGGTGTTTTGAAGCCTTCGAGCCAAAACGCAGGATTATAACGAGCTCAGAGAGAATAGCTGCAGGCGAAAAGAGGAAGGTTTTTGCTAGGGAGTCACTTAATAGGAAATACCAACTGAGTAGTTACAGACTGCTGGACAGTGAAGCAAAACTCTCATACGCATCTCCTTTAAAAAACTCAATATCCACTTTCTACTTGAACGCGTATTTCTGAACTTTCGTGGATATTCATTGACTGTTGCTCGAATCCAAGCAAATACTACAAGGCATTTCGCAAAACGCCGCAATAGATCTGCCTTTTCAAGAGAGGCAAAGCGAATTTTCAAGTAGAAAACATACTACTCGATGCCTCCCCATCAGTAGTACCACCGTTACCTAAGGATCCACGTCTTTCTATAAAAAAAATCAGTAGATAAATTTGTAACTAAAGCAAACACTCCCCACATTAAAATGAGTTTTTCCATTTGCTTAGGTTGCCCGAGCACTCAGTGGGAAAATGTATGCATTGAGTGCGCTGCGTATTTTGTCGTAGTTCTTTGACGCTTTGGTTTATTTAGGTACTTGTTGATAGAAAAGAGCCATGATTCATGTCGACCAGTGATTGCTTTTTCATTGTAAAAATAGCATGGGACGAACTACATTTGTTGATGCGACTGGGTTGGATTTGTTGGGATTTTTGAGGGTAGCCGTTTCCGTATTTATAAGCTTCACTCAAAGATTTTCTTTAAAACCTATTCAAGAACTGCTCACACCTACTAAATTTGCATTTTCCCACCAAGTATCTGTATTATGTTGACCGTTTTGTGCGGACTGCTTTTTGCACAGAGGATGCAAGACTGGGCGCGAGGCACCACATGTATCCAATGTCCTTTGGTGATAAGGATTTATCCGTCTATTTGGAAACATCACATCAGAGAACAACCACCCTTTACATTCCGGCAAATAAATTTTCAATAGATAGTTTTTCTTTGATTTTTGCAGAACCAGGAGCGCCTGTGGGAGTTTCCGCAAGTTTTCTTGAACCCGATCAGTTGAGTGTAAGGTGGTTACCACCAATCACTGCACCGGAAGTCGCTGCATTCAAGTTCCTTGTTACCGCGTCATCGATTTCTGATACGAAGTACGTTGTGCGATACAACGTATCCGATTTGTCCTCGACAACCATATCGGTAGAACAATGCACCAACTACATGGTGTACGTACAGACTTGGGATGAGAAAACGGGAGAAATCAGCGACTACTCTTCAGGTGTCCTTGTTATGCCACAGACACCAAGTAAGTGTCTTGTTTCCTCATGTGTCAGGCTGATATTTTCCCCCAGGTGCTCCCTTTGCGATGTGAGAGCATTTGGGATAGATTGTCACAGACCATTTAATTTTTCATAATTTTTTAACGAAACTTACACATTCGTCAATTATTCTCTAGAGCTGATTCACAAAAATTTATTTGCAAAGGAAATCTGTCGTTAGAGTCTAAAATCCTGAGAATATGTGTGAACAGAGTGATATCCTCTCTGAATGGCTCCAGTTTGAGCGTCATATTTGATTTTTCGTTAACACAAGGTGAATAAACTTGAGTGATTTACACTCCCCCTACCTTGTTACTAATGACTATTTGCACTCACCACAGCTTCTTTGTTTTTGTTCATCACTACTGACGATAGATCTTGGTGAACAGGCAGGACATGGGCTTATTTTGTAAGGTCAAATAGATTTCGAGTTAACAATGTCAAGCTGAGTGACTGAGAATCTAGCAAACTAATTTAGACCTGCTTTATACTTATTTACTCGGTGAGACGAAGCTGTATTCTTGTATTTCCAAATTTGAGAGAAAACGTTATTTTTGTTGTCAAGCTCAGTTTAGTTAAATAAAGAATCAAATTTTTTTAAGTCATCCAAACCGTTCAACCCTCAGAAGACATGTGTATCTGAATAAGTAACTCAGAATTGTTAGTGCGTGTCGGTTTCGATATGTATGCCTTTAGCATTGTCGAAAGGCCTATCCAGACCAAAATATAGATAGATCACCACAGCATATTCAATAATCTGTCATTTGACCCCCTATGCTACTCGCCGCATTGCCTAATTCAAACTTGCTTTTCTGCGTCAGCTATTCTAGGAGGAGAGGCTTTTTGTAATTACCTATAGTGTTTCTCTCCAACAATCAATCAAAAAAGGCATTTCATCCCGAGAATTTTTACTAACGGGATCCTATTTCAAGCATCGGGAGTCCCGGAAACAAGCACCTACCAAAATATTGATCGACAGTCCAAGGATAATACCGTTCAGTCGAATAATAAAAGCTTGTAAACACCATCTAGGACATAATAGCAAATTCCTATTTCAAGGTTCTGGAGTCCCGGGGGCAAGCACCTACCAAAATATTGATCGACAGTCCAAGGATAATACCGTTCAGTCGAATAATAAACGCTTGTAAACACCATCTAGGACACAATAGCAAATTAGACATACATAGATAAGCCAGGGTTTGATTAACTCACTCCAGATCTTCGCTCAAGATTTCGGTCCCGCAAGGGTCAGTATGTCTAGGCCCAGCATGTCATGAAATCCGAACGCTGAAAGAGCACGAAGTAGTCTGGCCCAACTAACCTGAAGATAACCATCCATTCAATAAATAAAAACTGACGATATAGTCAGCCGTCAAGGCACTTCAGTTTTTGAGCCACTGCTATCCAAGTCAGTTTTGAAGGACAGGAATTATTGTGATGTGACTGGCAAGATAATGGAGACAACAAAAAAACAAGTTACGCTAACCGGACGGTGTGCGTTCGAGAGAATCACCGATATTGCTCGGCTAATAAATGAATATGGTCCCAGCTATAATTTATGGCCAATGTAGAAAAGAAAGTCGAAAATGGTTTTTGCAATTTTAAACACACGGAGAAGAGTGAGAAACGGTTTTGCAAAGAATGAAGAATGCAGTCATACAGTGTGTGGCATGCTAGAAGTGATTTGATTACGCTCCCTCGAGCAGTAGATCCCATGTGAGTGACAGAAATATCAGTCCTCGTAGTTGTGCGTTCATCAAATATGAGGTGCTTAGGAGGGAGAGCCCACTGAAGAGACTGAAAACACCGATCCGTTAAGTTGATGAAAGGCAACCCTACCATCGCTGAAAAGATATACCATGTCTTCCTTTTTTTCTGGGTTACGTTAGAAGACTTTCAAATGTGTAAAAGCAGTCGTAATTTGTAAGAGCTCAGACCATGATTTCAATTTTTGTAGGAACATTTGAGCACTTGGAACCAGAGTGCTCATACGCATTTTGTTTTCCAGATAGGAATTGCAAACTTAGCTGCATTGCAACCGAAAATTTGTTAAATCTCTTTTGTATTTGATTCAATCAGAGGCCGGAACACCCCGACAACCTACCATAGTTGAAACCACGGGTAACACGCAGACGTTAGCCTGGCTACCATCCACGACAAATGCGTCGTGCTACCGCTTCTTTTATGAAATTTTCCAACGAAAAACTGATGACCCAGGATTTGAAACTATTACCAAAGTGCCATCTGAGAGGACTGGTGAGTTTTAAATTTTGTAACATAAAGTATTCACGTTTCCCGACCAAAAGTAACCTCAAAAAACTAACCGGATTTTCCATTAATTGTGATATTTTTACCACGTAAATTTACTTTGTTAATCATCGGACGAAAATAAAACAGCGACTGATGATTGGGAGTTATCTACACTGGCGATTTTGTTCTGTGTTCTTCAATCATCGCCACTCAGATGAAGAGTCACAAAATGAGCCAAACGTCCCAGGGAAAATTCATCACTCGAGCAAGCAGTCAGTATGTGATCAGGTAATGTGGCTTCCTGTATTCAAAGTTCCGCTGCGCTGCATAAAAGAGCAAGTAACGCTGCTTAAATGGTTTTGTTTGACCAGTAGCCGGAAGGAAGCCGATTCGATACTCTTTAGCACGGGAAAATTCCCAATAGAGGCTGAAGCAGCTATTTTATACTTCTTGGTTTTTAGGCATAGACTGACTTCACTTACAGGAAGAACGTTCAATTATTGAAGTCATATTGTTCTCATTTATACGCAGTGCATCATGTTTGAGCAGAACACTCAAAGATGTCGCAATTTTCATGAAATCGTAAGCAAACTAAAACCAACTTATTTATTGACTTATGTGACAATTCGTAAAGTTGCTGAAAACCCTTCGTCAGCCCATCGTCATTTTTACCGTTTTTGGGACTCATCGGGGAAGAATGGTCCCCGAATTTCAATCGAATTGATATTCTGCTTGAACATCAAATTAAACGCAACTGGTGGAATGCAATAGACCGAAATATTCAATCATCATCTGTTTTTGTATTAACGGCAGAATCAGTTGAAATCTAGATAAATCCTGTGCTCATGTTTACGTGAGGAATCTGGTTTTGCTTAAGGATTGGCTTTATAAATATTGCTGCAGATTAGTAGTGGAAAAACAACTCATGATGGAGCCTTACAAAGTGCCCTTAATCGACAGAAATAGTAACAACTCGACAGAATACCGGATGAGTTGCTGCTGATCTGTTCTTACAACCCCCTTAAATCATCATGATTATTTCAAGATTTGTGAATATTCAGAAATTTATGGCAGTGATTCCGTCAAATTTGGATAACAGTGCACACAACATCACGAAAATTACTCAGCCTCTGTTCTGCCGAATGGATACTCTTCCATACCTCTGCCGTTAGGGCAAATTTTTACGTTTTGAAAATGATTATTCTACACCACTGACCCACAGCACCCTTTTAGAAAAATCTCCCTCAGAAAAACCAGTGTATGCTCAATTAGCCATGAGCACATGCACAGTACTTATATGGCCAAACAGTGGTGCCCTAAACTTTGAAACCCGGAGTATGTTAACAACCGATAAAGAATTTTGTGGGTACCTATTGGATAAATAAAATTGTTCGTACTCAGAGAAGGGATGAATTCTCGTCACCTGAAAATCACGTGCAACGTGACAAACCTTAGGGTTTTGAAGGCCAAACAAATATTCACAAAATTCAGTTCCATGTGAGAGTGATAGTCCTAGATAAGATCATGACTAGAAAAAACCTATGGAACCCCCAGGCTAAGAAACTATTACGAGACCAGTTTGGCGAACAGCTAATCGAATCATGCCGATCTGGGCGCCGCTGTATTTGACTGATGCGATCGATCAATAAACCTGATAGAGTATACTAAACCAGTCACTACTGATGGTCATCCTCTATAGTCGTGTAATGCGGTTCACTGAGCAGAATAGAAAGTGACAGTATTCGAAGTGATGAATAAGACTCCACTTGAATGCGAATTCTCTCACCTTTTTTAGACCATACGTTCGCGTTCCTTTCTGCTTCAACGTCTTACGTGTATAAAATTCGCGAGGTTTCGGAGCCAGGTCATACCCCTGGGGAGTTTTCAAATGAGACAGTGGGGTCGACAGATATTTCAGGTATGGCTGTCTCCATCAGTGTATTTAAATTGGTCTATTTTGTAACCTTTTGCTAACACGTCGCTATTAATCCTGCAATGCCATTATTTGTAATCTTTGGTAACTCACTATCTTTTGGTTAAAATTGAAGTTCAAAGCTGAATTTGTACGAGTATATCTTGGGCGAACTAATCACTTCGCTCGTAGGCCGCTCGCAGTTGAACGGCTAGATGTTCAGTCTACAAGTGTGAAGGTTGCAAGCTCGAAGCGATCCGCAATTAAAAAAGGGGTGGTATACTACTTATTCCCTATAAGTATCAAAAATATTTCTAGTGCTTTTTGGCTTTCCGGCTTATAGTGGCTTGACTGACAAGTTGAAATCTACATTGAACGGGATTTCTAAATCATGTGCCCGACTTAAGTACTTTAGCGTTAAAATGTAAAGCACTGAACAAGTTTATTTATTGTTTGAATTTTGTCCGCTAAAGAAGAACACGCGACGATAAATGAGATGCGTGAGTGTCCATACGCATTTTACTGTTTGCATTTGGAAAAAAATATTAGTAAATCAGGAAACAGCCCAACGGTCATATTACTCCAACCTGGTTCTCTACTTCTTGATAGCGTTCAGCTGTAGCACCCTTCCGGTGCCTAGCTGCCATGCCACCCGAAGGGAGCACGAGTGTTGGGGTACTGCCAGGTTGCCCAAGCCTAGACAGGGGAAGTCGAGAGGCGGAGGTGGGATTCGAACCACGGACCTTCCAGTCAGTAAATTCGCGCTCTAACCACTTGAGCCATCTCGCCCCCTCTCTACTTCTTGCATGAAGTAGATCGAAGATGTACTGACGCTGGATATTTATTGAGCCAGATTCTACAGTGTAGTTATTGTCAACATACCCGCAGTGAAGAACAAAATGGTCGTTGCTGTTTTATAATACTGTGCCGTAAAAACTCCAGCGAGTAGTGGCTCAATGAATATGTCCCTTGCTATCCCACCTACCGTCTATATTGCCTATCACCAAACATAAATTAGACGTCAGTTTGCATCCGGGCAACCCTCCCAGCTCATCAGTGCAGGTAAAATTATTGTCGCTGTTCTCACGCAAACAATTACTAATAGTATCCACGGTTTTCAACAGTGGAACGCAGATAACCAAGGAGTAAACATCAACTGGAAGCATTTTTTGGTTTATTATACTAGCCTCTTAAATTTCGCCAATATTCCGTAAATGTGCTTGCTGGTCGGGAATGGCTAAATCTACTAAGACCGTTTCCTAGAATATTGAAGATTTTTGCACAGAACGATGGTTATTACTGCTGAAAGGAAGAATGCCTTCACTCCGGAGTTGTTTATCAGAAAATACCAACTAGACCAGTTACAGACAATCGGACAGGAAAGCAAAACTCTCACATGCACCTTAATTAAAAAAACTGAACACTCATCTTCTCTTGAACGTGTCTCCCCCAACTTTCCTAAATATTCATTAAGTGTTGCTCAAGTCCAAGCAAATGCTACAAAGCGAGTCCGCAACTCCGCAATAGATCTCCCTTTCAATCGAATTTACAATAAAAAGGCATACTACTCGCATGCCTCCCCATCAGTAGTATCACCGTTACAATGGCACAATAGGTGATTGGAAATCCTAACTTTTGAAATTTCACGGAAAGGATCTTCGTTCCTCAAGGCATTGATCTTTTATACTGCGTTTAGGAAATCACGTTATTCTTCTAAATTTGGAGATATTTGGCCAATCGCAATCAAAATTTTTCTGCCTCGTACTATTCATTCTACGTCGCGTCGTTTTCTATAAAAAATAAATAATAGTGTACAACCATTTTCGGAAGATCTGCAGCCAGACCGCTACACTTGGTACTGGACTGAAAATGCTTTGGTTACCCAATATTTAAATAACAAACAGTTTCTTCCAGGACTCCGACTACAGCTTCATAGAGCAGAATATAAGTCGAAAAAAGTTTACTCCTCTGGCGCATCCATAACGCAAAAGTCGTTCTGTAGGCAAAAATATTTACCTGTGACTAATGCACTGTTGACAACCTTCTCCTTTCTGGTTAAGAATGCCAGTGATTTCGGAAAATAATTTCCAAAGCGTAATAATGAAGTACCCGTTTTTATCCTCAACTTTCACAGATGATGAATTAAAACATTTGCAGCTCAAAACTGGGAAACCTCTGTTTGGGGTTCATCAAACAATGAAGACTGAAATAGCTCTGAAAGTGCAGTTCGAATTATTTAACTACATTGCAAAGCCGAAAGCCGTTACGTTTGTCCTGAAACCAAGATTAGAATCAGCCAGATTTGGACCGACGGAGTTTTATTCCTCACTAAATTTCCCAGAAAATTTCGAAAAGGTAAGAATTTTGTAAAAATCCGTATGATTTTACAATCGGTTGTCTTTGTAGTCAGTTAGGATGCGATACATGTCTGTAAAAGAGGGATGACCATGTATAATAGTTCCTCACCGGGAACCATTAAGTAAACTCAGGCTCACAGATGTGAACACTGTGACTTCTCAGTAAGATTGTTGGAGTCATACAGTTTATAAAATGTTTACTCCCCCATAAAAATATTTTCAAGATTCTACAAGGTTACTGAAGCAAATATTTACTTATAGTTTGTCTTTGAGGCACCTATTGTTGATTCTTTTGGAAAAGGCATCATTTTAACCATCCTCCTAGTCATCCTTCTGTTCAGATTGTCTTTAAAATACTGCTCACTGACGGCAGTGGTGCGTCATATTTCTGTATCAACAATATTTCAAAATGAAGGCCAGGATTTTATCCAGCATTCGGCTACTGATATCAATCCATTCAGTATTACAGAACATTCCTGAGTCTGTACTTTTCGAATGTTAATATTAGCGCGGATGTTATACGGTTTGGTTAGCTATCGCAAGATCATCTGAGATCGCGCTAGTGTCGGCTTAACCTTGTCTAACGAAAGCAGGGACGAAGATGAATTTTCGACAGCTGAAACTTGTTGAACCTACAAGAATCAGAAGAAGGCTTCGCTCTTCATGGAAGGTTTTGGTATTAGGTCTATCTTTCTAGGCGATAATTTGTGAATGCTCGGGTACGCATTTGTACCAAACGCTAAACTGTACTACCACTTCACAGTATAACTTTGTTTTATGTTTTACCACCTCCGCACATTTGGTTTTCAATCCCTTCTTTTTAGCCCTGCAGATGCCATATATTTTTCCCATACTTACATAGATGTTAATGCCATTCAAACTACAGGGTCGGAAGTTTAGTGCTTTCTTCGTATCTTCTCGCAATTCACTTAGCTTGAGCATAGTGTACTTTAGAAGCCATGGATCTTGATGCATCACATCTGTTCTAATCAGAACTTTATCATGAAATACGTGGTCATACGTGGCTATCGATCTTTGTTAATAAGTTCATGAGATTTGTAGTTCATTTCATTACGGAAATCTATTGATACTATTCATTTTGCCATACTAAGGGCACGGACAAATTCAGCCCTTACTAGCCATGGATATGACAATTAAATTTGCGTTTGTGCAGCAACAACCTGAAAGAGTCGATTAGAAAGGTAGCAGAATCGATTGCCGCTCTTGAAATCTCCGTTTAATTTTGTAACGGGCATATTTGCTGAACTTATTTAAAACTTTATTTCTTTGGCTTCAGAGTTGGGAAACGAGGCAAGTCAGGGGTTATGGCCCATGGGAGGTACTTGTCTGGGTGGCTACCAACGAGAGTGCCACATTTGACGCGTCGGTTTTGAAAAAGAGGGTGGTTAAAGTTGGGCGATACGGCGACGGATGCGTGTCCTTTTTGCCTTGCACAAATGTGCCATTGATACCGGGGACAGAATACATGTAAGTTTTTTTGAACACATTGAATTTCATATTTGGGTATGCAGTCATACTCAAGAGCGGATAACTAGTAGCAAATCATACGTCCAATTAGAATCTAACGCACTCATCTGGAATATTTCTGCATAGCAATATAGTCCAGAATGAGACCGTGCGAACTAGCTGCATTTGCTGCCTGTTGGAATAACCAACCTTGTTACCACCAAGTTTGTGCGGCTAGGTAACACCTTATTCTATCTGGAAAATGCTACATGACCGCTAGCTACAGTACGACTTTAATGGTGACTACTACGGGTGGGGCATGCGAGTAGTATGTGGATTTCTGGTAAATCATTCTCGCTTCTAAAGTAAGGTTCTCCCCCATGGGATCTGTTACGCAAACGGCAAAAATATTTTAAAACGCTCTCTTACAGTTGCATGATAGTCAATTATTATCCACAAAAGTTGAAGAAGATGAGTGGAAATGTTCAGTTTTTGAAAATACGGTGCATATGAGTCGCTTATATTCCTTTCAAAAGTTTGCGACTATTTGGTTAAAGTTCGCTAATTAACGACTCTACGGCGAAAGGTTTTATTCCTTACATTTGATGCCGTGATGAGGATAGGGATAGGGACCACGTGGTCACAGCTTTTTGAGAATGGGGATGTGCGGACCTTCCTGGAGGATTCCGAGGATGTTGCAGAAGTGGCTATAGTGAAGGCCGACCGGGGTAAGTTGGTGGCGCTATTGAACTTCTTCAGAAGTCGGACGAAGGCAGCCAGATGGGCCCTCGATATATCGACTGTGTCTCCGCTAAGGAAGTTCTTACAAGGAAGTTGGACACACCAGCCAACCGCAAGGAGGCTATGAGTTGGTTCAAGACAGCCAGGATGGCACCTGGATCTGACCGACACTGATCTTCGCCGGCCTGCAGCAGTCTTTGGATCGCGCTTTGTCGGGAATGGATCGAGTAGCGCGCCGCCGGTTGCTGTCTGACCAGTTCATTGAAGGAGTGCCGCGCGCGCCTGATGCCCAGTTGCGGTAAGCGAGAGCGACTGGCCAATTGCGTGTGGAGGACCTGGTGCATCTGGAACGGGAATTATCCGAGGCATCACTGACCGCGTTGAAGCCGCGGGAGAACAGTGATGGTTCTACTGTGGATGAGCTGCAGACCAAAGTGGACCAACTCTCGGAAAAGCTTGCATCCATAAAGACGGAATCGTGGAGGTGCGCTTGAAAGAGCCGGTGCCACAAGTGCGGAAGGCCTGGTCAGTTGAAGAGTCAATGCCCCCTTATCCGAACACCTGTATACAATAAAGATTCGGATTACTTCTCTTTTACCGGGTGGGTTGCGATTAGCGCAGTCACACAGGCCACCATTCAAGCTGTTATCGAGATAGACGAGAAGAGGGAGCTGTGTATCATTGTTACAAGAGCAGGCACATGGCTGAGGCAGAGAAGGAACCAAGATGAACGCAGAGTGTGCGCAGTAAACGTGAGGACAGTGGGGGAATATTAACTGAAGGTTGATTGATTGTCAATGCACTCGATACGCCTAGGTGACCAATTCATGTAGCATGCGTTCCAAATCAGCCCAGCCATAGAACAAACAATATTCGGGGCAGATTTCCTCAAGAGTGCAGATTCCGTTGTTTACCTAAAGCAGAGAAGGCTGGTGACAAGGTATGGTGCAATCAAGCTTGAAGGTTACTCAGGCGCTGTCGTGAGTGAGCTGCATGTCCGAAGGCCTCCGTTTTGTAACGTGCGGTCAGTACAGCCAGTGGTCACGGAATATTCCGAACTGCTCATGGGCAATGAGAATCCTGGCTTCTGCCCCTGGAGCGAACACGGAATTCCTCACTCGCCAGAACGTTTCGACCTTAGGGCCCTTGTCCGCTGCCACTCCATCTACGGGAGGAGGTCCTTAGAAAAATTCAAGAGGCGTTATAAATGGCATAATCGAACAAGTCAATAATTTGTACAATTCCCTGTTGTGCTTGTAAGGAAGTTGAACGGAAAACACAGGTTTTGCGTGGAGTTCCGGCGGTTGAATGAACTGGCCGTAAATCGGGTTGTAGCTATGCCTTCAGTTGCGAAGATTTTCAAATCTCTCCAGCAGTTCAGATATTCCACGGTGTTCGACTTGCGTTCTGGGTACTGGCGGCTATCCATAAGGGCGGTGGACTGGGAGAAAACGGCTGGGGATACACAATATCAATTGAAATGGGTGCCATTCGGTTTGTCCGGCGCTTAATGCTCCGTTTAGCGAAGGGACCCAGAACGTTGCCGCGTACTGAGTCGATGTCATTGTGTACAGCTATTCGGAACCAGAGCACGCAGTTCACTTAAAGGCTGTATTGAAGCAGATCCGGATGCTTGGCCTGCGGATAACTGAAGCCAAAATACAGCTCGCTCGACGTTCGGTGACACTGCTCGGGCATAAACTGGGTCAGGGAGAAATTAGCCCACTGCCCGAAAAATTGACAAAGATCGAGGATTGTGCTGCTTCCAATTCAAAGCGGTCTCTACAGCAGTTTCTTGGACGAGCGGCATACTGCAGCCGGTTGGTTGAAGATTTCAAGAGGATTGCTGCCCCACTGTCGGACTTGTTCGGGCCAAATGGGAAATTTGAATTGACCGCAGAAGCACATGAAGATTTTGAGCGTGTCAAAGCGCGGATGTCGGATCAGCAACTGACCCTCAAACTGCCTAGGGTTGGAGAAATGTTCACTGTTGAAATGGACACCAGTGATCGCGCGATCGGCGCAGTCCTAAAGCAGAGGGATGGAGTTATCGAATATGCCGGTCGTGTCCTGGCTAACGCTGAACAGAAGTACTCCACCATTGAGAAAGATTGTTTAGTGATCGTCTGGGTCCTGGTTACGTGGAGGCCACATCTGCTTGGACAAAGATTTCATATCGAAACCGATCACAAACCCCTGGAGTGGATCAGTTCACCAGAGATCCTCGCGGGAAGCTCGTGCGCTGGGCACTCCGGTTGCGAGAGTACGACTTCACGATCCAGCGCGTGCCAGGGAAGGAGAACCAATTGGTTGATTGGCTGTCAAGACCAGAGGCTGGAGATGAGGTCGCCAGGATCATGATTGGTGTCTATGGCCTAGTTGTCGAACTGGTTCCCAGAATGCAAGTGCAATGGCTGGATTCCGTCATATGGAAGATTGCGGCCACCCTGTTGGATGGAATGTGTATTGAGAACGGAGAGGGAGACAGGGAATTGAAAACGCTCCGGAGACACTATG